GCCCAATGATCCTAGGGATGGAATGGTTAAAGAAATGGAATCTCTGGGTAAATTGGAGGACGGCAGAAATCAATTTCCCGAAACAGGACCCCACGGACTTAAAACCCCAAGGGGATCTACCAAAATTAAGAATGAAAAAAGCATCCATGGGAGAAGAAAAGGGGCTACCAGAAATACCAGAGGAATACAGAGATCTTGCTGAAGTTTTCAGCGAGGAGAGGGCGGATGAGCTTCCCCCCCACTGACCCACCGACTGTGCCATAGAATTCAAGCCTGGGGCAAAACTCCCAAAGCCCAGATTATACTCCATGAGCCGAAAGGAGAAGGAGGGAATGGAAAGATTCATAAAGAAAAAACTAGAAAGGGGGTTCATTGAACCAGCCAAGCCTAAAGTGGCCGCCCCGGACGGCTCTTTATGCTTATGCATGGATTATAGGCTCCTGAATACAATCAGTGAAAGCAACCTATACCCCCTACCCCTCATGAAGGACATGTTATCACACCTCTCGAAAGGGATTTTTTTTTAAGTAAACTAGATCTAAGGGAAGCGTATTACCGCGTGAGAATTAAGGAAGGGGATGAATGGAAAACCGCATTTAACTGCCCAATGGGGTGCTACCAATTCAAAGTTTTGCCATTTGGATTACAAGGGCCCCCCGCAGTATTTATGCAATTAATCAACGAGGTACTAAGGAAGCACCTATTTAAGGGGGTCCTGGTTTACTTAGACGACATCCTCATCTTCACCAAATCAAAAGAGGAACATGTCAACCTAGTCAGAGCAGTTTTAAAGAAACTGCGAGCCGCCCACCTATATGCCAAACTCTTGAAATGCGAATTCCACCAGGAAAGGATAGACTACCTAGGTTATCGCATATCCCCACAGGGCATTGAAATGGACCCAGAGAAGGTCAGAGCAGTATTAGAATGGGCACCACCTCGCACAAGAAAGCAACTGCAAAGTTTCCTGGGTTTGGCAAACTTTTACCGCCAATTCATCCCCTCATTTGCCCAGGTAGCCTTGCCCCTCACGAACTTACTAAAAACGAAGGGAGCATCCTCAATAAAACCTAGCCAGCCACTAAAATGGACAATGGAGTGCCAAGCGGCGTTTGAGAGATTGAAGAGACTTTTTTCTGCCGAACCAGTACTGAGGCACCCAGACATGGATAAGCCCTTCGTAATACAGGCAGATGCAAGTGATGTGGCAGTGGGGGCTGTACTATTACAAGAAAACGATGAAGGGGTATTGCAACCCTGTGCGTATACATCCAAGAAACTCACCGAAACGCAACAGCGCTGGCCTGTGTGGGAGAAAGAGGCATACGGGATACGTTGGTCATTACTCACGTGGCGCCAGTTCCTGGAAGGCAATAAAATCCCTTTCCAGGTTTGGACAGACCACAAAAATTTGGAAGCCTTGAAAACACCCAGGAAGCTCAACCCCAAGCAAGCCCACTGGTCCCAGCATTTTCACCAATTCCACTTTACGCTCAAGCATTTGCCGGGGGGGAAGAACTTCCTGGCAGATGCACTATCTCGCATGCCCCAATATAACAGCACGCGAGCCACCGACTCTAAATCGATGATGGTGGAATCACAACTGGCAGCGCCAGTAACCACCAGAGCCCAAGCTAAATTAAAACTGCAGCTGGGTAGCCAAACTGGAATTGAATTACGGAAAAGTTTGGAAACAGATGAATGATTCCAGAAAAATAAACACGTGTGCACAATGAAAGACGGGCTGCCTTGGGTGGGGAAAAAGTTATATATACCAACAACCCAAAGAGTAACATTCATGCAGCTTTGCCACGACACAAAATCAGCAGGGCATTTTGGATTTGTAAAAACATTACACTTAATTAAACGGCAATTTTGGTGGCCATCCATGAAAAAGGACATAGAAAGTTACATGGCCAGCTGCCCAAAGTGTGCAACTGCCAAGAGGTTGCAAGGGAAATTGCCCGGACTGTTACAAACAGTGGCAAATCCCTCAGCCCCCTGGAGGGAAATAGCCATGGATTTTATAGTGGAATTACCAGAAAGCAATGGGAATACTGTCGTCTGGACGGTCACGGACTTGTTTTCCAAACAGGTGCACTTTATCCCTTGCCAAAAGATTCCCACTGCAAAAGCTTTAGCGAAACTTTTTGTGCAGCATATTTACAGATTGCATGGGGCACTCCAACGCATCATATCTGATAGGGGAGTGCAATTTACGTCTGCATTTTGGAAGGAATTTTTATCCCTCTTAGGGACCACTCAGGGACTGACATCTAGCCATCACCCTCAGTCGAATGGTCAAGCGGAAAAATCAAACTCAGTACTTGAGCAATATTTAAGATGCTTTATTAATTTCCAGCAATCAGATTGGATGGACCTACTCTCTTTTGCAGAAGTGGTTTATAATAATGCAGTCCACTCCAGCACAGGTTACACTTTTTTTCAAATAGCTACTGGTCAAAGTTTCAACCCCATGCCAGAACTAACCCCAAATGAACCGGCAATCCCATCACTGAAAGAATGGATGGAACAATTACAAAACACCTGGCCAATAGTTACAAAAGCCCTAGATGAAGCTAGGGAAGCATACAAAACACAAGCAGATAAAAAAGGGTCGAACCTACACCATTCATTATAGGAGAAATGGTGTATTTATCTACAAAATACCTAAAATCCCTACAACCCTGTAAAAAACGTGGACCAAAATATATAGGGCCTTTTCCAATTAAAAGAATTATAAACCCAGTAACAGTAGAATTAGAACTACCCAAAAATCTTAGGCAAATGCACCCAATTTTCCACTGCAGTTTGCTGAAAAGAGAACAACAGTCACCCTTACGGCCAAAAATCCCCCCACCACCACCCCCAATCATGGTGGAAGGAGAACAACACTTCGAGATAAAGGAAATCCTAGACTCTAGGAGATATCATGGGACAACTCAATACCTAGTAGCATGGAAACACCTCCCCGCCTCACAAAATGAGTGGGTCCATAAACGTCATGTCAGAGACCCGAAGCTGTTAAAGAAGTTTCATACAGAGTATCCTAACAAGCCAGACTAACTTTTATACCTGTTTTGTTTTACAGGTGGATCTCTCTTATTTTTAAGGGGGGCAGGATGTCAGAATCCAATTATATTTCATTTCTATCTACCTACTCTGATGAAAACCCAATTCTTACTCTATTCTGGATTCTGTCATACTATGAAAGGGGAGGAGGGAAAGCAATATGGCCATCGCCTTTCATCTCACTCCCCTTTGCCAGCAGTGAGGAAAAGGGGGTGGGAAATACAACGCCTGGGATCTGGGAAAAGAGGATGAGTGATCGTGCCGACGGAGCGAACGACGGATTGAATTACCCGGAAGAACTGTGGGGTGGGGGCTGCTTGGGAACACTTTAAAACATTGAATGGTGGGAGAGGATTCCCCAGATCCTGTCTAGCTTGCCTACAATCAGCTTCTCTTAATAAAGATCCCTGTTGGAAGAGACATTCCAAGAGTTCTGTCTTCTTAAGATGTAAGATTGAGGTGGGTCCTTACAGAGAGAGAGAATGTGAAAGTGGGGTCCTTGGTTTTCTGAGATTGGTTGTTTTCTTGCAGAAAACAAAGCCTAATTAAGCAACCACCTAGAACACTCTCACTAATACTGACAGGACAAGCCACTTGTATATAAACAGACAATGATATTACCTAGTTGGGTAATGAAACATCTGCAAGAAAAAAAACACAAGTTCAGACAGCACCAAGGACCCCACAGTTCAACCCTCAGATACAAATATTCTCTTCTATCGATATGTGAGATGTACAGTATATGGGTGTGCATGTAAATATAAACATATTCCTACTTCGGGCTTGCAGGCCCACCCCACATACATCAAAAAAGGGGGCAGCACTTCAATCATGCAGTTGCAGCCACCAATTTTTCTTGGTCCTTCTTGAATATCTGTGTGACCATTTCAACATGGTGTGAATTGGGCCCTGCCCCTTAAAAGTGACTAAGCCCTTGCCTCAATGAAATAATCACTCCAAAGAAAACAAAGCTTGTTTGGAAAACCAGTGTTTTTCTTAAGTTAATAATACTCATCAATATTCAAAAGGTGGGTTCATTTGTCAATAAAAATACTCCCTCTCCTGTTTTACAGTTAGGGCTGTTGAAGGCCATTTAGAATGAAGTGATAAGCACAGATCCCTTATTTTACTGGTTCTCTCAACCCCCCCCCCCAGGAAAAAGTAGGGAAGGAGATCATATTTGTTTTCCACCCCAGATTCTCTCAAGTTTTACCCAGATTAAAGTTCCAAGTTAACTCTTCTTAAAAAGAACAGTTGAAGCTTAGAGTTTGTGGGGTTACACCCATGTAATGCAATTCCCCCCTCTTAAACTTCCTGAGATTCATGGCATTTTAAAGTCTTGGAGAAAACTATCCCACTATAATTTTTAGTCCCAAGGCTCCTGTGGGTCTCAGAATGTCCCCCCAAACATATTGGGGTCTCACCAGGATATTATAAGGATGTTCCTCTGCATTTCTAAGGAAACATTCTAAGGTGCATTCAGTATTGGGAATACAACTGTCTGCCTGATACAGTTTAGTTCTGTATATAATTTGGGGTACATTGCCTCCACCTAACATTTATGACTGATAGAGATTTTGAATAAACTTGATCTCCAGAACAGACAGCATTGCTTTAGCAGGGATTCTAGTCCTCACACTCCTGGATGCTCCTGCCTTCTTTAAATATTAGGCTATAGCATTGGGGGAGATGTGCCATATTCTGCAAATGAATAGCCCTCATTTCATTGTTTAAGCTTTTGGCAACCCAACCCTATTGTGATCAGAGTTTTCCAAACACCCCAAGGCAAGAATTCCAGCCTGGTTGCCTGGTACCCCACATGTTGCCTTTCCCACAATGGAAGCTGTGGCAATCATTCAGAGATGGGAGGTTGTAGCTTCCTCAGTTGGACACTGCATTTTGAGCGACAGACACACTCAGACATTCAGGAGCTTGCAGCAAAACTACATGCCTGGTTTGGGAGGCTGTGTTCCATCAACTGCAAAAAAGAAGAGGAAGAGAGATGAAGAAAAGAATTAGCAACCACTATCTCCTTTGTTTCAGCTGCATTCTCTAGGGCAGGGGTAGGCAACCTTGGCTCTTTTATGACTCGTGGACTTCAACTTCCAGAATTCCTGAGCCAGTATGGCTCAGCATGGAAACCTCTCCCTTTCTCCTCAGCATGGCTGGCTCAGGAATTCTGGGAGTTGAAGTCCACGAGTCATAAAAGAGCCAAGGTTGCCTACTCCTGCTCTAGGGTTAATCTTTCCTGCTGCCTGCCCCAATCTTGGAAAATAACTTCCTTGCTCATCTGTCAGGGTGGCTTTAATGTTCATTCTCCCACAAAGCAGGAGAGTGGACTGTGTTCTGTTTCAGGAAAAGAGGCATTGAGACGAAGCAACGAGTTCCAACAGTTCTCCTTTATTGCAACACCAACAGAACAGATTTTAAAATGGTGCGGCCCCCTTTTATAGCCCCCCTGCACAATACCTTGCTGGCCAATCATTGCAAAGGCTGGGAGCAGCTTTTCTTGTCCCGGGCATCCACATGGTCTGCCCGGGCCAATCGCTGCAGCCTGTGCCTGCTGGCCCAGAATACCTTGCTGGCCAATCATTGCAAAGGCTGGGAGCAGCCTTTCTTGTCCCGGGCATCCACATGGTCTGTCCGGGCCAATCGCTGCAGCCTGTGCCTGCTGGCCCAGGACATAACACCCCTCCCCCCTTAGCTAAAATAATAAGGCACACTTATTATTTTAAATACTCCAACACTCCATTACATTGCTTACGTTGCATCTATATATACACAACACTACAGTCTTGCTACCGCCATGCTCCCCACTCCCCTTGAGCTGCATTACTTAACCCAGACTACTAGGCCTGCCCATGAACTGACAAGGACCGTACATAGTCTTGTAAGTATTTGGNTCAACCGGGACATCGTGCTGCTGAATGTCCTGAACCACTCCCCAAAGGGAAACCAGAATTATCTACTAGGGGTATACCGAAGAAACCCCAAGAAAGGTCCCGAGCAGTTCAACAAAAGACCTCAGGCCCCAGACCCCGAGGGGATGGGACGACCCCTGAGGAGGAAACAAGCGGAATAGGAACCCAGCTGATAATATGCCACAAGGAAGCCGAAGCGGTAGAAGATCCCATGGTAAGTGAACCTATTCATCCATTTGTATTACCAATAACAATCTCTAATCCAGGGTCAGGGTGTAGGAGTCGATACAACGCCCTACTAGATACAGGGTGTACTAGGTGTTTAATTAGTGAACAGGTGGTAAGACAAGCAGGCATTAAAGTAAGGCCCTTACGTACCCCGGTACGATTTGAGCAGGTTGACGGGTTCTTGTTGGGAGGGGTGCCTGCTACATACATCACTGAACCTGTACGGATGGACTTAGGGGACCATTGGGAAATGATCCGATTTGTAGTCATACCATCCATGACGGAGACCGTCATTCTGGGATTGGCTTGGTTGGATAAGTGGGGTCCAACAATATGGTGGGAAGGAGGTTATAGGAGGGTACATATTGGTGTGGGTCCTCAGCCACCGTCCCCTGAGCAGGTCAAGCTGGGAAAAGAGGGCGATAAACCCCAACCAAACAAGTAAACGGAAGAGTTGACCTTCCCGGTGGAGTACACTGACCTCGCAGAGGTATTTGACGAGCGAGAATGCGATATCTTACCACATCGAGCAACTGATTGTGCCATTGAATTAATGGAAGGGGTAAAACTTCCCAAACCCCGAATGTACGCGATGACCCCAAATGAAATGAATGAACTAAGGAGATATATTGATAAAAATTTGGCAAGGGGTTTTATCCAACCTGCTCGATCACGGGTTGTGGCCCCTGTTCTCTTCAAAGAGAAAAAAGATGGAGGGCTGCGTCTTTGTGTGGATTTTCGGGGACTTAATGGAGTTTGTGTCGAAAAGTTATATCCCCTTCCGCTTATGAAAGATCTTTTGGCACATTTAGCTCAAGGGAAAATGTTTACAAAACTTGATTTGAGAGAGGCTTATTACAGAGTACGCGTGAAAGAGGGGGACGAATGGAAGACTGCCTTCAATAGTCCCTTAGGAAGTTACCAATATCGAGTAATGCCGTTTGGGTTACAAGGTGCTCCTGCTGTGTTCATGCAGCTCATAAATGAGGTGCTGCATGAACATTTGTACAAAGGAGTTCTTGTAT